TCTTAAATCAGTCGGAAAGCAGCCGGGCAGGTACGTGAATCAGAAGGCATGTGAGTTTGGAATTCCCAAGGGGCCTCCCTGGAAGAGTGGAGACAACTGCATCCATAGTTCTCCAGCCACCCCCCCTGCCTGCCCCCATCCCGTGTGTGAGAGAGCCCGGGGCTAGGAGAGAGGGACAGTGGCTTTTTCCCCAAGCAGGGGGTGCTTGTGTTTGCCCTAATGACACGCTGGCTTGAAATCCTGTAAAAGCACATCTGCTGGTGTGTCCATTGGACAACGTGTGTCCCTGGACACGTGCTAGAAAAGTGCATGAATTTAGGTCCTTCCTTACTGAAATTTGTTGTCTTTTTACACACTAAAGCTGTACAAACCTAGTGCAAACTACTGAGCTTTTGCTTGCTCAGAATAAGTTGAAAGTTTTTACTGGGGCTTTGTTTTCTGGTTTTTTAAAAAAATCTTTTGAATGAGGGATATCTCACACTCTCAATTCTCATCTTCCATTTCTGTTTTGAGTTACTTTCTGCCCTTCCCCTTTGGCTTTGTCATGAATGCAACAAAATCCACTGTTTCAACTTCCAAAAGTGAACGTGCCAACACTGAATTACTTACAACTGCTCATTTTTTCCCACCAAGGCAAATTCATTTTTCTTGGAAAATTGCCTGGTTAATAAGCAGGAAACTAGAAGCATCATAAGATTTCTTTTTCTTTTCTTTTTTTTTTTTCCCCAAAACAGAGTGGGACTGATATTTTTTTTGTTTGTTTCTTGTTTATGTTTTTGTTTTGCACCAGTAGTTAAACAAAAGCACCCTCCTGACTTTCAGCTCTTGCAGTTAGACTGTCTCGTGCTCCCCTAGCCCAGAAACCTTGGCAGCTCCTCCTGGGAGGTAAAGCCCTGCCCTTGTGTCACGCTGAGTGACAAGCACTTTAAAAGCCCAGGGTCCTCATTAGACGTGGCTCCAAATTCTCCGGATGATCTGACACCAGCGTGCCCTTATTTTGCCTTCACAAGTGTGCATGCCTGCATGTGGAGCATGAAGGAACACCTATGCTTGGGTATGACCTTTGCAAGCCCACGGAAGGTGCCCGTCTGTCTGTCTGCCTGTCACTGGTGGCATTTTGTCCATCTGGCCCCACCAGCACCTTCTGTCTCTTGAGTGCCAGGGGAAGGGAACTGCACAGCTGATCCCAGTGGGAATCATATCCCGGGAGCTGCGAGGCAGGAGTGATTCAGTCACCTGGAATTAAGGGGAGAATGGGATGATTCAAAGAGTTATCCTTCCCTCCCGGCGATTGGCAGGAGGGGGATGACCCGGTGCTGGTGTTGCTGGGGTTTTGGCAAGGTGCTGACAGGAGGAGGAGGCCACTCAAACCCTCAGGAACAGCCCTGTGGTTCAGGCACAACACGGCAGTCGGGGTTGTGTTCCAGCCCCGCGGCTACTAATAAATGAATCATGGAGGCAAAATCCAACCAAGTGCTCAAAACAAAAAAAAAAAAAAAAGGCCTGATCTTTAGTTTCCGCTTCCAAGGTTTTCCTCTTTTTGTTTGACTGGGATCTTAGGAGCTTCAGGGTGTGTTTCTCCCAGTTCCAGGCAGCGTTCAGAACACCTCCTGCCTCTTGTCACATTTAAGGTTTGCTCATCGCTCTCTCCTCCTGCTGGAGTTAGTGGCCCGCAGGGTGTTAAGCCAAATTCACTTTTTTTTTTTTTCCAGAGGGATTAATTAACGTTCATTAAACCTCCTGTACGGGGCAATTTTCACTTAAAAGCGTGGTGACTGCTTTAATCCCAAGTCGTTAACAGGGTGGTGGTGAAGTTTTGGGTAATCCTGCCTTGTCTTTAACTCAGATTACCTTTCCTGAGACCATCTGTGTAGCCAGACCCCGTGGAGATGGAGCTTCCATTGCAATAATATTTGAGCTTTTCCCAATTTTAGCGTGATGGAGGGAAACGGTGTTACCCAGCCTTACAGATGGGGGAACTGAGAAACTGTTATGGCTGATGCAGGTTGATACCAGGGGGCCTTTGGCAGTACAAAAAGTCTGATTCCTATCTTCCCACTCCCTCAGCTCCTGTCTAGTTCTTCCTCCCACGGCTTGTCCTGGATCCTGCCTCCTCACGATGACAGGCCAAATGTAGTTATCTTCTCTAGTTGTCTTCGAGCCTCTGTCTCCTGCTTGTTGCTGAGGAAAGTGCTGTCTCTGTGTGATAACTCAGTCATCTCCCCGCTCTGTAGCCAACAGGGTGGTGTTGGCCGGGAGATAATTAAATGTGGAGCCTGGGACTGTTTCAGAAAAGCAGAATATATAGACGTGCACAGGCTCCCTGGGCTGTGAGCAAACAACGTGGTGGTAACAAGCAGGCAGTCAAAGCTTAGCTGGGTATTTATTTGGTTGGAAAAGGGCTGCACGTGGTGGGCTGTGGCTGTTTCTTGAAGGTTTTAGGTGGTCCTTGGATGGAAACGATGCTGAGGAGCACTGCTGTGGTCTGACTGCTCCTGGATGGAGAACTTGGGGAGGTTTCATGCCTTGTGGGGTGGCTGAAATCAAGACTTGTCTCCATAAGGTGCCTTATACCGGGAGGCTGCCGTTGACCGGCACCTCCGGAAAGCAGAGGATTCTCCCAGAAGGGTGGGAGATTCTCCCAGTTATAATTGATGGGCAGAAGGACATTCCCACAGGGATGAAGGAGCGAGGATCCCACTCGTACCTGTCTGGAAGAGCTGCTGAGCAGCAGCTGCGTTTGCTTGTTCTCAGCAGTAGAAAACACCGCCAGTAAGTAATGCCCTGCTCAGGGCATTACACTGTAAATCACAGTGTTCCCTGCAGGAGACTTCCTGGATTCTTCCACATTAGAAACGTCTCTTCTTGTGTGAAGAAGAGGAGGGGCGAGTCAGCCAGCTGGTGCAGGCTGTAGTCACAACATCTGACACGTCCCAGAGCCAGGGGAACGTGTGTTTACGGGCTGGCGGGCTCTGGGGATGGCAAGCAAATGGCAGATAAATATATTTCCCTTCTTGATTACTCTTTGGATGGGGGGACATCCCGCACAGCGGCTCCCGCCGCAGTGTCCCAGCTCCCTGGGACGGAGGGATGGCTGTGGGGGTAGTTTGTGGACCCCCAAAACCACTTCTTTAAGCTCTTTAGAAAGGAGCTGAGCATCGGGAGGCTTGGGAGGGATTCGGGAAGGGATGCTGGAGGCAGAGGGCTGTGCTGGGGGGAGCTGAGAGGGGCTTTGCACAGGATGGATTCATCCTCCCAGCCTCAGCAAAGTCTGTGTGTGTCCCCCCCCCCAGGCCCCCGCAGTTTTACACCTAAAGGAAAAGCTTTTTTCTGCTTTTTTGGCTTTGCGGGGCTGGGGCAGAGACCGCCCCCCCCCACCTTGGGGACAATGTCACCCCTGCCATGAGGAAAGGGGTGGCGGGGGGGGGGGGGGGGGGGTGTGGCCCGCCCCATTCCCGGCGTGACACAGGGTGACACGCAATGACACGGGGCCCCTCCCACGGCGGGCGGAGCCCTGACGCAATGGCGGGCGGCCCTGCGCTGCTCGGTGCTCCCATCTAGCGGGGACCCTCGGGTGACCAGAGCCCGGGGGTGACCTGCCAGGGCTGGACGCCTATGAAGAGTGTCCCTCTCTGTCCCTTTCTTCACCCAGAGCCCGACCTGGAAGACTGCAGTTTTGGCTGCCGAGGGACGTCGCCCCAGGAGAGTCTCTCTTCCATGTGAGTGTCCTTCAGGAGTCCTCCCCCGGGGAACCGGGAGGGAGGGGGGTGTCTCCGCATCCGCCTGGGCACGGCCGGACCCCGGGATGCTGTGGGATGACACAGCAAGGAAAGGGAAAAAGAATGGGGGAAAGTAGAGGCAGGTCCTTCCCTCCTCCTTGGGGGTAGGGGTGGGATGGGAGCGGTGGAGGAAGGTTTGCTTTTCCAGTATGAACCAGGGCTAACGGGAACGGAGGGCTCTCCCGACGTGGAGCTGGGGGGCATGGAGGGATGCAGGCACTCCTGGTGTGGGGAGAAGGGAGGAGAGGAGTGGAGGTGCAGGCTAGGGAAGCCTCTCTGATGTCCCCCCAACCCTTCCCCAGGTCCCCCATCAGCAGCCTGCCCACCCTCTTCGACCAGACGGTGTCCTGTAGCAGCAGCGGGCAGCTGGACAATGTCCCCCAGGCCACCCCGAACATCGAGCAGCTCCTGGAGAAACAGGGCAACGGGGAAGCCGGCGTAAACAGTGAGTCACTCGGGGCACGGGCTGCGGGAGGAGAGGTCCTTGTGCATGTCTGTGTGGGAGCCAGCTGGGATTTTGCCCACAGGCAAAGGAGCCGGGTGGGGGACAAAGCGCTGGTCTGTGCCATGGGGGAGTAGCTGGCAGGGGGCCTGTGGTCTGGGGCCAGTCTCTTCCCCCAGCATGGACTAATTGCGGTATCTCCTGTGGACCCCCTTCTCCTCTTTCTTCTGTCCTCCATCCTCTCCCCTCACCCCGTTCCCCCTTTCCCTGCTTCTGTTCCCTGCAGTTGTAGAAATGCTCAAAGCCCTGCACTCGCTGCAGAAGGAGAACCAGCGGCTCCAGGAGCAGATCATGACGCTGACGGCCAAGAAGGAGCGTTTGCAGCTCCTCAACGTCCAGCTCTCCGTCCCTTTCCCCGTGGTGACCAGCAGCAATGGCCCAGGCAGCCAGGCCCAGTACATCCTGCCTCCCAACGGTGAGGGGACTGGTGGGAAGCATCACCCTGTCCCCCTTTTGTAGCGGTGGCCTGGGGCGGGCAGGAGGGGGGTCACGGTGGGGAGGATCTGACCCATTTATCTCTCTGTCCCTTGCTATTGCTGTGGCAACGTCAGGCTCCACCCCTGACTCTGCGTCCTCACTTCTTTCCCCCGTACAGTCTGCAACAACGACTCCTTGAGCATCAGCAAGAGCCCCCCGTGCAAGAACAGCTTCGGGATCGAGAACTCGCTCTCCACTTCCTCCGAGGTACACCGGCCCCCGCGTCCGGGGAAGGGGCTCGGGGAGGGAACAGAGCAGCTCAGTCCCAGTGCTCTTGGCTTGAAACCCAGCTCCTAAAGCCTCGTAGCCCAGAAACCACGTCCGCCAGCTGCCCGGGGAGGGGGCTCGGGGAGGGAACAGAGCAGGGCAGTCCCAGTGCTCTTGACTTGGAAACCCAGCTCCTAAAGCCTCGTAGCCCAGAAACCAGGTTTCTTTCTCTGGAGCACCCCTTCTTCAGTTCATCTCAGTGCTGAGGGTCCGAGGCTGGGAGCGTGAGCTGAGAACACTTCTAGGTTATTTATTCTAGAGACCCAGCAAAGCATGTCTGAAGAAACCAGGTTTCTTTCTCTGGAGCACCCCTTCTTCAGTTCATCTCAGTGCTGAGGGTCCGAGGCTGGGAGCGTGAGCTGAGAAAGCTTCTAGGTTATTCTAGAGACCCAGCAAAGCATGTCTGAGCTCTGGGACCCCTCTGAGCCTACACCTGCACTCACAGCCCCCCCACCTTCCCACCTCCAGCTCCTGCCCCAAGCACCCTTGGAGCTGAGCTGACCTTTCACAAGCTGCCCCAGTCCGATGCTCTTATGTCCGTTTCTCCCCCAGGACCCTCATTCAGGTTGCCCCAGCAGGAGCAGCTCTTCCCTGTCCTTCCACAGCACTCCTCCGCCCCTGCCCATGCTGCAGCAGAGTCCTGCCTCGCTACCCCTGCCCGGGGTGCAGCAGGTGAATGGCCTGGCCAGGGTGGCAGGCAGCGGGCTGGGGGGAGGCACCAGTGCCGGCCACAGCCTCTCCACGGTGCCCATGGTGGACGGCCTGATGGGGACCCTGGCAGGAGGCCAGCAGATGCCCATCAACGGGATCCTGGGGAATCTGAACGGAGCTCAGGCCGCCCAGCCTCCGAGCGCCCTGACGCAGGCGAGCGGGCCTCCGACCTTGCAGCTCTCCACCAGCCTGAGCAGGTGAGGATGGGGGGCCGCTGGGGACAGCCCTGCCCTCTCCAGCAGAAGCTTAGCCCCGAGAGGGAAGGGAAGGGAGACAGACCCTACGGATGCAGGGCCAAGACGGGCTGTGCTGACATCTCCCTGCTCTCTTCCCCTTGCAGCGTGCCCAGCCTGAGTCCCCTGACAGAGCAGCAGCGGCACGTCTTGCACCAACACGAACAGCAGCTCCAGCAGCTCCAGCAGCTCCTGACTTCCCAGCCGCTTAATCCGGTAAGTGTGCCCGCTGGCACCTTTTATCTGATGAGCTCTTTGATGGGAAAGCCTCGGAGCAGAGAGCAAAACTTAGGGTTCCCTCCTTCACCTGAATCCCCTGCCCACAGGGCTGCAGAGAGCCGCATGCCTTTTCCATGGCTCCGGGCTGCTGAGGGTGGAGCGGGGAGAAAAGCTTTAGGCAGGAAGGTGCAGCACCTCCTGGAGGGAGGGCGACGGGGATTTGATCTTTTTCTCACAAAGGAAAAAAAACTTAATCTGGGTTTCCCACATCCCGAGGGTGTGAGGACATGGTAACGTTAAGCCACCGTAAAATCAGGAGTGCTGTTACCTCCTCCAGCCACCTCTGAATGCAAACCATGTCTGCTCCTGCTGCCGCGAGCACGCGGGGCTCTGGCCTTGCAGATGTGCTGGGGTCACAGGAGAAGAGGAACTTGAGGAGTCGCTTGAGTTTAGAAGGAGATAAACACCAAACTGCTTAGTCCTGAGGCAGGTGAGCCCCGTCTGGGCACGCTGATGTGGAGAACTGGAGATGCCAGGGGGACTGGAGGGAGTGCAGAGGAGGCAACGAAGCTGGTGAGGGGGCTGGAAAACAAATCGTATGAGGAGCGGCTGAGGGAGTTGGGGCTGTTTAGTGTGAGGAAGAGGAGGCTGAGGGGAGACCTCATCACTCTCTACAACTACTTGAAAGGACACTGTAGAGAGGTTGGTGCTGGTCTCTTCTCACAGGTAATTAGTGACAGAACGAGAGGGAACGGCTTCAAGCTCCAACAGGGGAGGTTTAGATTGAACATTAGGAAGGAATTTTTCACCCAAAGAGTGGTCGGGCATTGGAACAGGCTGCCCAGGGAGGGGGTGGAGTCCCCATCCCTGGCTGTGTTTAAGGGCCGTTTAGATGCAGTGCTGAGGGACATGGTGTAGGGGAGGACTTTGTAGAGTAGGGGAGATGGTTGGACTCGATGATCCCAAGGGTCTCTTCCAACCTCAACCATTATTCTATGATTCTATGACTGTGTAGGTGGCTGAGGACTTCGGGGTCAGAGGAGGGATCGGGCAGCTGTTCTGAGGACCTTGGCTCTCTGCCTGCGTCCTCTTGGGTAGAAGAGCCGCCCCGTCCCGGGCTGTTGTGGGACTGGCTGCAGGGAGAGGTGGTAAACAAGCCCCTGAGTGTGTAGGAGCCACGTTCACTTGCCCTGCAGAAACCTCCTGGTGTCCCTCCCCTGCGGGGCTGCGCGGGAGCCCTCGCCGTTCCCGTCAATGGAGCTGTGCTCATTTATATCTCCCGTGAACTTGGCCCGTTGCTTTGGAGAGATTTCTGGGTCAGGCTATTTATAACTCGGGGAAAAGCAAATTTCAAAGGGCTTCTCTTTCCAGCAGCTGATGTCACCGTGTCATCAGCTGCATCCCCGTGGGTACGGGAACAATGTCAGCTCTCAGCCGGCTGCCTTGGTCGATGGTTGCCATGGTGATCTCTGCAGTTTGGTTGGATTTGAGGGCGTCCCTCGGGGTGCAGGTGAGCCCTGGCCCTCGTCCCCCCACGGGGTCCAACTCACCTACACTGACCCCGGTCAGGGATAGCTGGGAAGCAGGACGGGCTGGGGAAGGAAATTACTAGCCCATCTAGAAATTCAGGGTGGTGAATGCCACAGACTTAAAATCCGTGGGTCAATCGATTGGAGAGAGCTGAGATTTGTGGTGCCTGCAGGTGGGGATGGCTAATCCTACGCTTCAGGAGCCAACGGGGGCAGAAAGGTCATAAGCACAGGCTGTTAATGAACAACAAGACACACTGCCCCTCTCTCTACCTACAGAGACATGATTGAGGGGACTTTCTCCCCGTCCCCAGTAGCATTGCCTGGGATGGAGTGTGCCCGTGTGGCTCCTTTGTATGAAGTGTCACCTCTTCCTGGGCCCTTTGTCCCTTCTTTGACTTCTCTCCCTCGCCCTTCCCCGCAGGAGCAGCAGGCCCTGGTGTTCCAGATGATGCAGCAAATCCAGCAGAAGAGGGAGCTGCAGCGGCTGCAGATGACGAGCTCGTCCCAGCTCTCCATGACCAGCCTCCTGGCAGCCACCTCAGCCCCCCTGCACTCCAGCACCAGCGCCCTGATGACCTCGGCCCCCCCGCCGCCCCCCAGCAGCAGCTCTCTCATGGCCTCCCTCTCCCCCCAGCAGCTCAACCCTACCAATGCCCTCCTGGCCCCACAGGCCACCCCACCGCTCAACGCTCCCGGCAACAGCCTCCTGGCTTCGGGGACAGGCATCCCACCCGTCCTCACGGCACAGACTAACCCCTTCCTCAACCTGCAGGCTGATGGCAACACCCCGAAAGGAACGGTGCGTATGCTGCTCGCGCTCCCCTGACCCCGCCGAGCGCGCCGTGCCGGGCGCTGCGCCGCACTTCACTTGGGGGAGCGAGGGCACGGGGCCAGAGTGCTCCCCTGGCTTTGCCACATCCCTGCCTAGGCCAGTGTCACCTCCTCATCCTACCTCCGAGGACTTCTCTAGGGCCCAGACAGGGTTGTGGGTTGGCACAGAGGCTCCCGAGGTGCCCTTCTATATGTGTGTGTGTGTGTGTGTGTGTGTGGACACACACCAGCCCTGCTGCAGGAGCGAGGCAGAGACAGGCTGTAGATTTGTCTCCCTTAACCCTAGGACTCGGATGGGACAATGTGCCCCTGGGCAGTGCTGGCCCCGTGGGAGCCTCGTGCTGGAATTCAAAGGTGACTGCATGTTGAAAGCCAGGGTTTAGAAGGAATCTGGCGCCCGGAGGAGAGGCTGTTGGAGAGGTTTATGGCCTCTCTAGAGCAGCCTTGTACTGGAACACCAGTGTCTAGGGACTGGTGGTGTGATACTGCCATCTCTCCTCCATCCCTCCCCTGGCCTGTACCTGTACCCAGAAGGTCCAGCCCCGCTTGGAAACATTTAGGAGCCAAAGGCCAGGGTTGAGGGGCTGGTTTGGCCCAAACTGGGCAGAGGGGTGACCTGGGGCTCCCGTGTCTCCGTTGGAGCCCCGGAGGTTGAGCAGGGCCAGGTCTGCAGCACATCAGGGCTCAGCTTCTGCCCCCCTCGTGTTGCCACCCCCCCCGGTACTGATACCTGTCTCCTCTGCGTCTCTTTTTTTAAAGAGCATGAATGAAAAGGGAGCTCCTCTTACCCAGGACAAGGGCTAAGCTCCCCCCCTCACCCCGAACAAACCAGCAGCCAACTCCTCTCAGCCAGGGGAATGTGGCTTCCCACAGTTCAACCTTGATACTGTTAGAGCAATGAGCACAAAGGCTTCCGAGAAGCATTTCCTGCCGCTGGGCAATGCCAAGAGGTGCTTTGGAAGACACTACGTCTCTGACCGAGCCCTGGGATCGGGAGGAACGAAGCTGGGGGGATGCTCCCTGCCACCCTGCCCCGGCCCACACGGGGCTCAGAGCGAAGCCGTGTTGCTGCGCGGAGCGGAGGAGAGAGATGAACACCCGCTGCCGGGGGTGCGAGCGGGTGTTGGCGTGTGTGTAACCCCCCTCATGCCAAGGAACTAGACACCATCGAGCATCCTTGGCCGAGACCTTGGTGGAGGGAGGCCTCCTTCCCTCGCGTGGGGCAGAGGAACCCGGCGGTGCCAGCGCTGGATGTGACACAGCTGGGGAAGCAGGACGTGGTGGCTGCTGGTGCCTCCGTGGTCCAGAAGGGGAAGGTCAGAAGAAGGCCCAGAGCTGAGATTTCTCACCTGCTTTTCATCCGCTGGGCTCTCGGGATGCTCTTCTCTCTGTAGCCATCACACGAAGCCCCGATGCCTCAGCTGGAGCCAAACCCAGCCTGAAAAGACACGAGCGGTGGAGCGATGGGTACGGACCGGTGCTGGGGGAGGAGGGGAAGGCCACCTACTTCTTCAAAGGACATTGTCACATCTGCTCTGCCAGCAGCTGGACTTTTCACCTGAAAAAGCACACTCCTGCTCCTTGTGCTGTCTCTTTTTCCTTCCAAGATTTCCAAAGGCTAAGATTTCACCTTGCAGAAAGGGGCTGTAGCCAGTATTACCCCTGTGGTAGCCAACTTCAGAAGGTGCATTTGAACCTGGCAGCCGTTTCCCAGGCCAGAGACGGGGGATAGAAACGTGTGTGGGGAGGAGAGAATGCCCCAAATCCGGTACCTTTTCTTTCTTACCCACCACAGATCGCTCCAGTCTGGCAAAACCACGTTCTTCCACTGGTCTTGGGCACTTGAGCAAAGGGATCTCCAAGCAATGGGACAATTACCAGTCTCCTGAGCCGGGACATCGGACCCTTTCGTTGTTTTCCACCTTTTGACCTTAATTCCATCTCTCAGCCTGGAACCTCAGCGAAGAACTCGGCGTCCTCTGGGCTGGGATGTGGTGGATTGATGGAAGGAGAGATGGGGCAGCCCCCGGGGGAAGGGGGACATCGACGTCAAACGTACAAACCCCCCCTTTTTCCTCCTGCCCTGGTTCAACCCAGAGCTCCTGGGGGCCAGGAGGAAGACTCCAGCTGATAGAAACTCTGAGGGTCTTAAAAACGAAAACAAAAAGATAAAAAAACCCCACGTTGTCAGACCTTAATGGATATTTTTCAGCACATTCCCACTGCCTCTAACTAGTTTGCACTATTTGAATTTGTCAGCAGTGGGTCTGTGCTGATAGTACTAGAAAAGCTCGGTATAGGCGAAAACTCATCCGCTAAATATCTTTCTTCCTTTTTATTTTATTTTATTTTATTTTATTTCTTCTGTTTGTTTGTTTGGAAGATTGTCGCCACAAAGGTTGAATAAGGCTAAAAGGAGAGAAAATTACCTTTCTGATCTCAGCCTCCGGTTCTGTGAACTGGGCAGAACACTGCTGTCTGCTCAGAAATATATATATATTATATATATATATATAATTTTTTTTTTTTTATAAAGAAAAGCTAATGTTTTAACAAGGTTAAGATGCTATTGGAAAGGTGGAGATGGCAGCTAAAAGTGGAAATGCAGGAAAAAGGTATTTAAAAGTCTCCCTTCCTTGCGGTCCCTGGAGAGGAGCGGTGACGGGTGGCTCTGGCTGACACCTCCCTGTCCCCGGGGGAGTCACGGGGGGGCTGTGCCACCGGCCACCCCCCT